ACTCACATTTTCAGTCAATAAGATACTTTTTATATTCAATGATATTTTAACGAAGGAGAGAAATAATTAAAAATAGTAGGATATGTGAATCAATTTGCAAATAACTTTAAGAGATGTTTAGATTTTATATAGTTTCTATATGTTGTTCATGAATCTTTACCTAACAAGGCAAAGACATGTTTTAAAGATGTTTTCCATCTTAAATATCAACAGTAACATTAAATGCTTGTCGAACTTCTTCCTGGTGACATACCTGTAGATGCTCCATTCCGGCTCTATCTTCGTTATTGTTGGGTCCTCCACATATTCAAACTGCAGATCTCTCTGGAGCTGGGCTCTATCTATACTCACAGACACAGAAACATTCCCGTAGCCATGCAGGGAGGCATGTGTTCGGCAGGTTAGCCACTGGCCACCCCTCCTACAATGTAACGGAGTTAGAGATGCTATGTTAGTTTTATTCTGTGAGTTAATGGTTTATGGCAATTTGAAAGCATGATGGGTTCATGATTTTCATTTGCTTTCCATTGTACATGTTGCAAAATGATAAAGGAAAAAAAAAAAACGAAGTTTGGTACGAGGTACCAGTGAAAGACTTAGAGTTGGTGCACAGAACTGAGAAGAGCTGCCGGCTATAACATGCATAACTTGTGAAACCAACTTCGGCACACTGTTACCAATCTAAGCATGCATGGAGGCAGGTCCACAGGGTTTAAGTATCTGTTGTGTACTAAACTCTGATAAGCTTTTCTTCACCAGCTGATCTCACGCACAACTCATTTTTTCCTTATGTTTAGCTCAATCTCTGCGCTTACGTGCTGCAGCGGTGCGCTCAGCCTGCTCCTTACTCTTTTAAGATCATCAGAGTGCTCGGCTGTCTCTGCTCTTGCCATAAGTAATTGAACAAAGCATCAGCCCACAGTAAAACACTTTGTCTAATATAATTTAAGATGTTGAGAGGTGATGCAAAACTTTCTTTAATCTCTACCAAAGGAAATCCTATATTTTATACAGAATAAATATTTCACTATATAATTGTAGATTTTTGGATGAAGACCCATGTGAAAAGGCACAGACCTTCTTTGAATATTTCTCTCTCTTACCATTCGTCTACTTTTATCATTCTAATTAGGTTGCAGAGTGGTCATTGTATAATCATAAACAAATGTTTCAATATTTCCTTTAAATATTTTAGCTTACATTTTTTAAACAAAGTTTGAATTGTCATGAAAGCGTAAGGCAGTTTTGGAGGTTCTCTGTATAATTATCAAGCCCCTATGAGGGGATTAAAGGAAAATGTTTGAGAAACATGGGTGAAACTGTTATAACCATCTACCATGAACCAGTTTGTTAAAATAAAGTAGCTGCTTTTATTTTCTATATATTTCTTTCAACCAAGAGTTCTGGAGGTGTTAAGGTAGCCTGAGTTACAGAATAGCCAAAATTGACCAGTTAAGGCTTTCTAAATGGTGATAGGGTATTTACATTCAATATTTCAAAAATGAATGAAAAAGAGGGAAATACTAGAATTATTCAAAAAAACCAGCAAATAAGGAATGTGCATTTTAATTATCAAATATTATTCTATTATTTATTAGTTCTCTTGAATAATCAAAATGGAGATACTAAGGGCTTAATATCTAAAATATAAAATTACAACTGAGCTATTAGTATATAGGTCATACTGGTTTATATCAAAAATCATCCAAACATTCAAAATAAATGTAGGATTGGGAAAATAGTATGAGCCAAATACTGGTTTTATTATATAGTACGGATAATAATCTAGAACTACTTTCATCCCTGTTTATAACCTAGTGTGTTAAATGTACAGGGTTTATTAAATAAAACTATCAGCATGAATATTGATAAACATTTTTGGTTGCACTTATTTTTCAGGCAGTTCATGATCAGAAGTGTCACAGCCATTAATGGGTTCCGCTTTGACGAAAACAGACTTTGACTGAGCTTTTAATTAAGTCTTTGAAGAATGATTGGCAGGGTCAAGTGAGCCATGTTCCCACTAACCTCAAGTAAGTACATGGCTGATCTTTAAACATAACTGACACATTGCTCCCAGCATCCAAGTGGCTGCCTGTGATGTTGACAATTGTTCCCCCAGACACCGGTCCACGGCTCGGCTTCAGCCCAGTAATTCGTGGGACCTATGTGAGTTCAATTAGAAGAAAAATAACAGACAAATGTAGGGAAACAGACATTGCATATTAAATTAGGTGAAGCACAACAAAAAACATCAACATGGTTTGTGTTATAGAATACACACAAAAAACAAACAAACTGAGATGCACTGAAAAATCATCTAAGTTAAAGGATTCTAGGTCTGAACGAATTGTAGCTGGTTAGAAACTCTGCCTGTTCTCCAGTGTCATGTCTCTTCAAAGACACAAGAAGAAACCAGAGGAAGTATCACACCTGTAAGAAGCTATTTAAGTAGAAACTATTTTCTATGATGGCCTGACCACTGAAACTTAAGCAGCAACCAGGGAGCTATACTTCCATATGTGGTACTGTTTTGCTTTTCTCTATTGTTGCTTTTTTTAAATGTTAAACCCTAATGTTTAATGTTACAAAGGAAAGGCCAGCTACCCCTGGATACCAGGTTGTTGCTAGGTGAAATTCATTGAACTGCTGGAGGAGTGAATTAAGGCAAAGCTGAGTTTAGCAGATACTGGTGTGTATCTATCTCTCCTGGGTGATGCTAGATTTGGAAATGCTGACAAACATTTGTATATCTTAAGTCAATTTAAAGGTATACATTCTTTTGAGTACAACTACAATGTCCTATAACTTTCAGACATAATCCCTAACCAAACACCAGAATCCAATAGCTAAAACACATTCTCGATAGTTTTACAACCTTGTCAGAGGTCTGATAATGAGTCAGTGGATTTATGCACGCTAGAACAGAGAATCCAGTAAAGCTTGCACTCTATTGGCTATCATGACCCCTGCTCCAGAAAAGAGGCACAGAATCTTCCACTTACACTGTTCAATGCAAACCAAATTGATATAGGAAGCTAGCTAAGGTGTGAACTTCCCTAAGCACTGCGATTTGTTTAAAAAAATTTCAGAAAAGACCACAGATCAAATTCTAAAGAATACCAAAACAGTCATATTTTAATCTATTTAGTATGACTGAATAAATGTACCACAAACTGTTGTCGCAGATCCCACTGGCAACAGGTAATAAATATCATGTTTCATAAGACCGACACAGCAGTAGTTAATCAAGTCCAGTAGAAGCTGGTCATAACGCCAAGCCATTATGAAGTCATCTGACATCCGAACGGTCCCGTATAAAACCTGTTGTGTTTGATGTTTAGATGTTACATCTCATACCTCTTTGTAAAGACGCCTTAGTGAGAAATAAACTCCAGCAAGCATCCTTTAAGGATAACAGTTAAAAAATGATACACTAGCATCAAAACAAGTACATAAAAGCAAGCAGTGGAAATTTATTCCACAACGTGCAACTGTTTTGGTGACTATGTGCTGGGAGGGTATTGAAAGAGCACAGCAGTGGGTGGAATGTGTTTCTTTATGAGTTCGTGTCAGAAAATGCTTTTAGAACCATTAGCTTCTCCATCTCATCCTAAGCTCATTAGTGAGTGCCAGTCATGTCTCACAACTGATACACAGATGAGAGAAAAGTCATCATGTGGGAAGGCAGCCAAAAAACCCTACATATATTAACACAATGAGTGAAAATAGAAAAACACCTGATAACAGGCTGTCATAATGGAGAGTTTCCAAGGCAGTTAAGACTCAATAAGTCGCAAGTGCAGAGTTAAATGTATTTTTACCATCATAAACTGAAATTTAAAAACCATAAGAGAGAAAAAAACTCAACTAAAAACACACACTCACCACAAAGTAGAAGTACTTGGATGATTTTGCCATGAATTCGGGTCTGCATGCTCCAACGCCAACACACACTTGCACGTTCCCAGTGTACTGGCTCATCTCTGCTCGACCCATCTCACAAACAATCCTGTAAACATAAATTAAAATATATAAAAATCCAGATAAACTGATAAAGTTTCTGCTGTTAGAGGTATTCTAGCCTAGGAGTAAAGAGAAAACTGTCCAAGAAAAGTTTTTTTTGATGCAAGAAATCCAAAACACTGCTGCTTTGGGAGTAGCTTTACCTCCAATGAACGGCAAATATGAGGCAGAAAAAGGAAGAAAGTCTATGACCTCAGCTACAGCTACCTCTGCTGGGTCAGCACTAACCAAGAAAGTGCTAGCCCACAACTTTCTTTCTAAGCAGAACCGCTGTGTCTGTTGATAAGCCAACTTTAAACTAATTTGACAGATGGTACCTGCAAGAAGCCAAGGCTGTGGATTTACTTGAACGTCAACCACATTTAACCTTCATAATATTCTACAGTGATTATTGGATTTTAGGAACTAATGCATGTACAGCTGTTTGAATGTCTGCCTACATAAATTATTATCAATTTTGCTCAAAGACACACTTAATACTCAAATTTTGCACTCTTGATGTAGTTATGTTTCAAGTCCTTGATCTAAATTTACACCAGTTTGACAACTATTTCAGGTAAAAAATATTTATCATATTAAACCGTTTTTTTTTTCTTCTTTTTTTTGGTTTTATATAAATAACTTAAGCAAGAACAAACACAGAGGGTATTAAGGTTTTTAATATTTAACAGTATTTTGGAATTAAAAACATGACTTACTGTTCAGCAGGGATGTAACCTTCACGTATGGGAGTGCAGTCCACTTCCGCCACTTTCACGTTGCCCTCAATCTCTCTGAAGTCCAGTCCCAGGTTTATACCCCGGATAGTCACCAGAGTTCCTCCCTCCCTGGGGCCCCGCAGAGGATTAATCTGTTGGGACCAAAAACTTGACTGATTATTTCTGTAATTCAGGTCACTTCAACATTAAGAAATACTTTTTTTTTATTAATGCGTAGCGGAAAATAAGACAGCTAATAGCTGCAACTCATACTAAGTAAAACTTGATATCTTCTAGTTTTCCTCTAAACAGATAATCCCATTTTACTTGTGTGTGTCTGTTTATTAAATGTATGAAGGTGCAAAGGTATTCAAACCTCTGTGACTTTTTTACATTTCATTAGTCGGCAACCTTAAACTTAAATGCGTTTAATTTTGACCGTTTGTGACAAACAAAAAGCTGTTGGTGGTGATAAATGAAAAGGTAAGTAAACTTTCTAGTAAATAAATACCTGACTGAATAGTCTCATACTTTTAAACAGAGCCAACTTGGTTATGATTTATCTCACTATGAACACAGCTATGCTATAAACACAGCATACAGGTAAGGGCTGAGGTAGTGAAGAGGTTTATTTCAGGTTTAGATGAACAAAAAACACTGCATCCATCACCCGAAAATGGAAAAAGTTCAGCGCTGCAAAAATCCGACCATCTTGAAAGAATTGGAAAAGCACAGTCCTTCAAAATCCAATAAGTGGCAAAAACACTTTACATCAACCCTAACATACAACCCCACAATAACAAATGGTGGTGGCTACTGTATATTGCTATGGCAACGCTGGTAATTTAATTGGAGGATTGGTGGAGTTAAAGAAAACATAACTAAGGTTTAATTGAGACTGGAACAGAGGTACAGCCTGGAGCACAAAAAAAGCCAAACATATGGCCTGAGATACAATGGAAAGGTTAAGATTTAACAATTTGGCTCAGTCAAAGTCAAAAGCTATCAAATTAATGAACAGTAGGTGGCAAGAGAAGGAATTGCAAAAAAGGGTTGGTCAATAAGAATGTGCATCACACTTCTTTTTACCTTTATCAAAAAAAAAAAATTATTCAAGTAGCGTGGATACTTTCCTAGGGGAATTAATAACTCATGCATTCTCTAAATACACCCATGTAAACTCTTCCATAACTTATAGAAATGCAAACAATTTATACTAAGATGTTGCAAAGTTGGTGATATATGAGAGTTCTAAGTATTGACTAATTCTGAATACATTAAGCACCTCAACCATTCTTTGCTAAAGTAATTACTTCCCAAATGCCAACAGCATTGCTCTTCTAAAAATGCACTACTCATTAGTGCTGGATTTTACAATTGCTGTATTAACAGAGGACCTATTCAGAGCCAATAGCTACCTAAGGTGAGCAAGAAACTGAACAATTAAACCTAATAAGGAGGCTTGTTTTTTTTTAGCTTTCAGGGGAAAAGTGTTAATTTCAATTTCTAATTATAATTTTTTTGTGTTCACATATAATCTAGGAGGAGACCAAAATAACTACAAAATAAAAGCTCAGATGCCAAATAAATGAAGCGGTAAGCCCTCTGTCTTCTTCAACTTGTATTTAAAGTCTACAACTGTCAGTTACATTCGTATTAACATAGATCCTGACATTGGGTGACATCCTCAAAGTGATCAGTGTCCATTTGATTTATCGGGACCATCTCTCATGCAAGTAATGTGGCTGCAACATCCATTACCACGTTCTTACAAAACTACCTCTTGGCCAGCCTGTGTGTGAGTGCACATCATCAGCCCTGTCCAGATGGATAGATGTTACAAACTAAGACAGAGTAGTATGTACTCATCAGTCTCTGCCACATAAAGTCCTCCAGGCTGTAGACAGGAGCCAGCTGTAATGGCAGCTCTTCCCATTTCTGTATAGATGTGGCAAAGTGACCCCCCCTGTGGGTTTCACATGACAGGTGGAGGCCTGAACAAATGAGTGGGAATGTTGTTGTCCCCACTGTGGGTCATAGAGGATACATTTATTCTATATTACAAAAAAAAAAAATAAGAATGAAACATGTAAAAGAATAAAATAACCTGATGGAGCTTAACTTGTAGGAATTTTCAGCCAAGTTTAAACTAAGTTAATCAAAAGACTTGAGACTGCCAAGCAGATGATATTTTGTGAAAGCGTTCAATGTGTCTGATTAATAAGGCTCCCTATGGGTTTCTTAATGAAAAAAAAAAGCCATTTGGGAAAGAAATACATTACATCCAATTAAAAATAAAGATAAAAAAATTGGAACATAAGGCCTTGTGGCTCACAATTGATAAGAAAAATAATATTTGATTTCAAAGGATTGACATAAGATAAATAAAAAGGGGGAGAAATATGTAGGAGAAGGACAAAATAAGGAATTGATTAGATTTTTTAATCTGACAAGATAATTGATGCTTTTTCTAAAGGCAAACAATCACTTCTCTTGTTTTTTTTTTTAATTGTTCTATGCAAGTCACTCATATTATTGTTTGGAAATGTCATTATGATGAAGTGTTTTGGAATGCATTAAAGGCTGCTTTGTCTTAGAAAAGTCCTCACTGCTGACAGTTTTTATGAGGGACACGAGAAGGCTGCAATATGTCCCATAGGAAGCAGTAACAGCAATTCTAGAAGACAGACAGGCTCATCTCACTGAATAACTCCAATGAAATGAGTTAAAACAAACACTAGAGCTTCACTTAAGAAGACTGACTTCTATCTGCTACAAGGCATAGTGGGTTTAAATCATATTTGGGTTTGTATGTTTTACTGAGCATTCGAAATCTAGATTAAGTCAAGTTCTTTTCTTTGTCAACAAATGGGGGCAATCAAACCAATTTGTGGATGAGGACTAAACACGTAATTGTCTGTGAAATAAACTGTTACATTGAGAACAATAACAGTCAAACTTCACTGTATTTTATATGAAAATTAAATAAAACTCCAAGGTCCAGCATCCTTTACCTTCTATGTTTCAAATTTAATAAAACAGGTTTAATTATTTAAAAAAGGATCATGTTCTACAGAATACATCTGAAATACTTATTTAAATTAGATGTGTGACGCTAAAACTAAGCTATGAAACATGCCTACACAGAGCAGCACATAAAAGGAAAATTAAAGGTAAAGCTTCTTTTTTTTTCCAAAAAAATGTGTTTTATTCATCCCTCTTTACTTTTAGAACGATATTCATAGCAACCAGCTGTCCTTATAAGTCCCATAAATTGCACCAACATTTCTAGCCGTTTGTTATTTAATCCCAGTATAAGTTCAGATGTTATGTGAAGGCCTATTAATTTTTTTAAGGAAATATTTGCAAACAAAAAGCACAATAGTGATAAAACACTTTTCAATGCATAATCAACAAATAAAGAATGGGATAATGACAACAGAAACAACATGTGATCACCTAGATTAACTGAGAGGTCATGCAAGGAAAGCAGCAAAGAAAGTGACTAAGCAGAGGTTTATAGATCAAGTGGGAGACCCTTCTAATAAGGCAACTATAAACAGTGCTAAGGAGAAAGACTTTGTTTAATCCCATTTGCAGTTTACTGCAACAAAACTCCAATAAAATACATTAAAGTCTGAGGCTAATTTGACAAAAAAAACAACCTAACAACATTAATGATTTTGCAGTGTCTATTAAGTGACTGTTTTCCTTAATAGAATCTAGAGTGAACCTATGCACTATTACTGAAAAAAAGGAGAGAAAGAACAGAAGGACGTTCTTCAACCTTACAGCCTTATGTAATTAAATTCCTGCTCAATCTAGCCATCCATCACCAGTTCTCCTTTATATAATCCCAACACATCCTCCGCTCCCATTATCTGGGTAGCTTTTCTTTCATCTTTCCTATGGGTCCTTGTATCTTTCATCTCACTGACCCCTATCACATAACCTTTTTATACGTTGGACACGGGTCAAGTCTATCCCCAGACAGTGTTTTCAGGGCTGTGCCATATTAAATGAGGGGTTTGTGTAAACATCTCCTCAGGTGATTCATAACTACCAAAAGTAAAAATGCAGTTTTCCTATTTTTCAGACTTTAAAACATGCTACATAAGATAGATTTAAAATAATATTTTACTTCTTATAAAATAGGTTAATATTTTACATTATTTCTACTGGTACTGAATATCTCTTGATGAAACACAATTATTAGCTTAGCTTATGTAATTTACTGGCATTATTGGGAAAAAAATGTTTAAATCATACTGCAATCTTGTGGTCTATAAATCCAAATTCACCAAGCATGTACTATTTGCATGGATAAAGTGTTTTGTTTAAAACATTAGTAATCCAAAATGAATAAGTAATTCCCTGTCTTGATAAAAAAATAATAATTGAAGATTGATTGCAGCAAAGTTGTAAAAAAATAAAATCAACATAATAAGCAGTTATGACAGAAATACTGTTGATTATGTGAAGCATAATAAATAAACATCTGGAGGAGGATGATAAAAAAAAAAACAAAGCAATGTGGATTAAATTCTTTAAAAAAAAAACAAAAAAACTACATAAACAAAAAGAAAACTGACAAACAGAAGCCCCTTTCCTTAAGGTCTAACTCTGCAAATTGTCTTCTTAAACTGTGACCCTATCTGGAAATTGAGGTTAAATGGGTTGTTCGATATATTATTCAAAACCTATAAAAGGGAAAGGAATAGAACTAACACAAGGATTGGTTAAATTTCTTTAAATGAATAAAATAGATAAGCAGGTATAGCCATGACTGTATCCATGGATTATACATAAGCAGACAATGTTAATATTTAGAAAAGGCTGTCTTTACCAAATGTTTGGAGGTTTTTCTATAATTATATACTCTAGTGTCCTAACTTTACCTGACTGAAGCAAGTGCAGCTGTTCAAAAACTCTACTGTCTTCAGTAGAAATTTCTCAGACTTGCATATTATATATTGAACAATGTTTGGCGGATTGGATGCGACAGGTAGATGAATGCGGATACATTGTTTTTTTGTTTTACATTCAGCTGGATGTTATTATATTAAAGTGTACATCATTTTTGGACAAAAAGCACAATGATGTAAAGAAGGGTTCAGTCCACCTTTCTTTATCATAGCTCTATTGAAAACCATACTGTTTTGAAATATTAATAATTGGACATCCTCTGTTGTGTTTTAGTGTAAATTATAAAAGCTACACTACAGAATTGTGCATTGCACATTTAGTTCTCCATATAAACATTCTGCCTGTGTTCAGACATAAAACTATCTTGTACTCATTTCATATATACATACCAATATATACCAATATCAGACAGCACAGTATATGCAGCATGAATGTGTGAACCATTATCCCTGTACACTTATTTTGTTTATAAAACATTTAAAAACAAACACAGCTGTCACAAAGTGCTCCACATGTAAAAAAAATGAACAAAAACACTATTTAAAGACAAAATCAATAAAAACAGATTGAAAAGAAAATCTCAGCCTGTGATGAAACCCAGGAACTAATGCATAATGCAAATGATACTGTTTTCAATAAAACTGTTGTAAATAAACCAGTAAGAAAGTAAAAAAAAAAACTGCTAGTCCAGTCCCCTGACCTTAAGCAAATAGAAAATGAAGGAGTTAAGCAGTTGAACTGTGGAATGTAGTCTAATCTGTCTCGGCCAGAACATCAGTTCACAGGTGGCAGAAGCTGCATAATAAATGTGAAGTAGTTCTCAAAAACCATTCACTGAAATGAATCACAGGAAAACTACATTTTCAAGCACTGTTTTCTGCTCCTAAAGTAGTTTTCTGGTAAAGAAAAACTCTTTTAAGCTCTGTTTCTTTCCTGTGGAGTGAATCAACCTGCTGGATTTCTTTACATATTTTGTTTAAAAACAGAATCTGCTGTGTTCTCAAATGCATTACTATTGTTGTGTTTGTCTCACCTGTGTAATTTTTGGGTGTGTGCATTTGCTGTTGATCCCGTTGGGCTCCAGGAGCTGGCTGTCTGGGAAGGGGCAGTGTTGCTTGAGGGTGCAGCGGTTCTCTCCTGTACACCAAACGCACCCAAACAGTGGGTCTGCTTTCAGACACAAACCGCAGCTTCCGCGCTGAGCATCACACTTATAAAGATGAACTGCACAGTAAGAAGGAGAGATATGTTAGACAACTATAGATAACCTTAACTCCTACAAAAATCTTATTATTCCAGACATCATCCCCTTATACTGCCCTTCCCTCCTGCCTTTTCTCACAGAGTTTCCTACATTCTTGTCTCTCGTCACCCACTACGCATTTAACATATCATCTCCATGGCAACAGACCAGCCATTTTCTCTTTTAATTGCCATTAGATGCGTGTATGAAGTGCCCATCAAAAAAAAAAAAAAACGCTCCAGGAGATGCTTCCTCTGCAGGCAAACAAAGGTAGGAGGCAGCATGAGAAGCATTCTCCATTTCAAGCATCTCCTTTGAAACTTTTGTTGCCTCTTTGATTCTGCACTCATCCTCAAGGATATATTTTGCAGATGTGTTTTTTTACACAGCACATGTAAATACGACCACAAACCCTATGAACTTTGCCTTGCAGCTAAGTGTCATCTTGGCATGTAATACACATTTCAACAGTATATTTCACACGCCTGACTCCACTGCCTTTGGAGAAAAAAAGCAGGTTTCCTGTTGCAAGACCACAAGCCACCACATGCTGATGTCTTCCTGGTACAACATAAATTGCTTACCGTTGTGAATTATCACTGGCTAAACTGAATAACTCAGCTGAATGCTGAAAATGCAAATTTTTAGTTGCAAATCTGCATTTTAAAGAAGAGTCAGATCTAAACAGAGAAAGCAAGTTCTAAGTGCATATTTTATTTCACGCATACAAGAATGAATAACTAAAGGAGCTGTTTGTAGGACGTGATCATAATGTAAGCTACAAGTGAATTTCTCTAAAATGCAAGCTGTCATCAGTTTTGGGTAATTCAATTCAACAAGTAGAATTTGTATATTTTGTAGGTTAATTATATATAAAGTGCTATTTCTCGTGTTAATTTAGATCAATTTGACTTACAGCTAATGGAAAATGATGCACTCCAGATCCTCAGAAAATTTCAATATGTCATATAAAACATAAGTAAATAATAACATATGGGAAGATTTACCCATCTACTGTACAATGTATGCATTCAAGGCTTGGTTCAAGTTGCTCTTACATCACCTATAATGCTTAAAGGCATAGTGGAGGGTTTTTGCAAATTTTTGAAGACCCCCCCTCTTTAATTTAGAAAAGGGACCCAGGGTACAGGCTATGGGGATTGAACTGGGTACTTGCAACCTTCTCAGAGCACAAGAACACTGCTCTAACCACTAGGCCAACACTCCCCCAAAGAGCATGCACAAGGAGAAATGGGCTCGTGCACGCTCTGTTTAAAAGTTGCTGTTTGCATCGCTGATACAATCTTACATTTAAAAAAAGAAGAGTTGCAATTTTGTCCAGTATGTCAGACCATCATCAGTGAGTGAAAATGGGGACGAGCACGTTGGAAGGCCTTACGTAAACAAATCACCAGAATGATTGAAAATTAGGAGGACCACTTATTTTGATGATCCATCCAACATCCTCCACTATACCTTTAAGTTCAGCATCCATTCTTTAAAAGACAGCCGGTAGCTTTAACAGAGGATTGTCTGCAAAGTTGGGAGCCATCGTTAACTGGATAATATTCCTTATTTTAATTGGAATATAGGTCAGACGCATTTGCTTGCCAATCCATTGTTTTCCCATCTAAACCTTAGCCGGACAAATGCAGACATCAATGTTTATATGTTTGTGTATGTTTATTAGTGTCATGCATTTTTCTATTTTCAAGGAAAGGTTTCTTTGGAATTGCTATTAGGGAGAGGCAATATTCATCAAAGCTGACAGAAAACTAAGAAAGGCATTAAGATGAGAGTTAATGTTACTACAGTACATAAGGCCTTCTGAAATTAAATTGCTCTGGAAATAGGATATTCTTCTATAGATATAGAGAACGTATAACAGCTAGGCAGCCAGATGGGGAAAAAGAGGAACCAAATGGACAAAAAGGGGGAAAAAAAAGAGGATGTATTGAAGTTAACCACCCTTCATGGCAACATCAGGGAATGGATGCCTCACCTCAGCACACCATCACCTGTTGCTATGGAGACAGGCTGCAAGGGCAACAATTTAGAGGAAGTAGCTTCTACTATGTATGTCTAGTTGACAGTTTGTGTGGAGACCATGTTGGACTGGGTGTAAACTGAATAAGCTGATGAGCAGATGTTTCTCCATGTGTCTGTGCACATGAGTACACAAGCGCCTGCGTCTGTCTGAGTACTCACCTTTGTTGTGGGTGGGGTTATCAATGCTGAAATCTCCGTTCCAGATGACGGTCAACTCCACAGGAAGACTGCTCATCTCCATCCCGTCATATGAATACTATAACCATAGCAACAAGAATGAGGCAAGTTTGAGTGAATTTAAGAGAGTGAAATCATCACACTGTGTGTTATTTACATGTTCAAATGCTTTTAGTGCATAATTTCCCCTTTCATCCCTAAAATGCATAATCAGCCACAACAGGTGGCTTTATACTCAGTTAACACACTCACCTACACACACTCTGGAGAGCATTCAAAGACGAGATTATTTTTCATTTGGTTCTGTTTCACCAGCGGCATAAGAGGTTGGTGCTAGAATCATAATTTTCTGCTAAATTACAGTTTCCCTCTTTCACAGCTCAATCAAACTACAATGTTTGCCCTGTACTGTGATTATACACACACAATCCCACAGACATCCTGACATGCACACATTAACACACACACGCAGAGAGTGATGAAGACAGACAGGAAGATGGGATGTTATTGTATCAACAGACGATTAGCATCAAGACCAGCATAAAGCCGTTCATACTTGCTGTCAATGCGTTATTCAGTGAGAGGATGGAGCCTCGATGGAGGGGAGACAAAGTTACGCTCTTATCTCATATAATCCTTTTATACCCGGAGAACTAAACTTACCTTTTATTGGTGAAATAATCAGTGGAAGAAACCAAAACTTTTAAAGAATAGATTTAAAGTACTGAAAGTCTTCAGCAAGATTGAAGGAATGTGATCTATTGCTGATGCTTCATCTTACCGATTTGTTTTGACATTGCACTGAAGAGCTGTTAAAACGCAGGGCAGGAACTCTGATATCATTTCCCTGGATGGTTAGGAGGCACTCGTACCCTCTTTGTCCAGACTGGGGCTGGGGTAGGTTCTTAGCCCGCAGGGTAATGGGCTTTACCACATTGACTGGCACCAGTATCCTTTCTGCAGGGAGCAACTGTGGACAGCCCTGAAATATAGGCAAAGGTTTAGAGTTATTATTTTATAATTATGAATTCAGACAAATAGCTTTTGTTTTTTTAGAATAGTACACACAGTCTACACAATAAGACTAATATAGGGCTCCATAAAAACACATTAAAACATAATTGCCCATAATTGTTAAGTGGATTTAAAAAAAAAAAAAGATCCAGAGCACCTTCAAAATGTTGCTGTCTCACTGACATTGTTTTCATAACAGTTTCAACAAGACTTTCAATGTCATTCCATCAACAATAACCTTTTTGAGATAAAATCAGGTTGGTGGAATAATCAATACTGTGTTGAAATGTTGATTCACTTTAGCTGTGGAACTCTAAAGCCTTTTCAAAAGCTCCATGGGACAAAAGAATGCTTCTTTCATTAAGGCTTTCCTTACTCAGTCAGTTTAGATTGACAGTTATGCACTGGTAGGTTTGAAACAGAGAAAGTATTCACTCGTTTATTTATTTGACAGGAGAACACATATATTGCACAGTCCAAAGATAGTTACAAGCTAATTTTCACCTGTTGTCTCTGGGCAGAGGCAGAGTGACAGCAGGTTAAGACTATGAGAGCAATAGCTTTTACTTCATAAAATTTCACATGTGCAAAATCAAATCACAGGTCAATCTAGAATACAGAAATACATTACAAAAACAGAGCAATAAAAGAAAGAGCAGATCAAAACAATGAATTTAAAAGCAATGACATACTGTACTATGGTGAGTACACACCTGATGGTCCTTTAGCCAATTCTTTGTTATATTAAACTTTAATGCGCTACAATCTCAAAGACTTAATAGTAAAGAATTCCACATCCTGCTCTGTGCTGCTCTGATATATAAAAGCAGTTTTGTCCGAATGATGTCGATCTAAAGTTGACATAACAGCTTCCTCTAAAGGAAGCTCTGGTGGACCCGACACCTGCCTCATCAAATGATTTCACAAACTCTTTGAGTGGTGGTGGTGAAAGGGGCATAAAAATTCTTATAAAAAAAATGATGTTGGCCAATAAAATTAAAATTTTAATTGTTAAGAGTTTACATTTTTAAGAATGTTACACTAATGATATGAATATGGTTTCTTATTAGATATTTTAATTGCCTGTTTAAAAAGACTTTGCAATGGTTGAGTTGTATTACTTAAATTAACACATGTTGTTCTGCAATATAAAAATGCAAATATATCCCCATGCATATAGAGTTTGGCTGCAATTGTACTCATCTGAGGGTTAATGATTTTAAAATGGGCAGAATTGAACGTTATAGTTTTACAAACTTTAGAAATGTAATTGAAGACTGAGCATTTGTTGCTATATTCCTTTCATTTTCAGTGATGCATTGTACTGTGATCTGTTAGCAATTGAATACAGTACTACGAATATTTTTGAAGAATCTTAATCGCTTTAAACTTCTGCATATTTTATCCCTGACCTCTTGTGTCTTATTCGGTCCTGATGCTGATCTTTTCATTGGTGGTACTGGGTTTTCAAGCAGAGCTGCAGGGTTCTAACACACACCTCACAGTTCTGGTTTATTTCATTTGTTAAAAATAAATGAAGACTACGAGTGCTTTATTTTATACATACTGAATGTTGGTATTGCTCTATCACATTAAATCTTAATACATTTCATGGTTTCGTGGCTGTGATTTGTGAAAGCTCAATGAAGTTTCTCCATGGTACATACATTTTCAACATATTACCATCAGCTATTTGCTATCAGATATATGCTATTTCAGGCTTAAGGGCTCATCTAAAACCAACTTTGTGATTTTAAAACACAACTTTATGTGACTTATTTGAAGTGTCTTATAATCCAGTCCTAAAATGCTGTAGTTCATAAAAAGTGACAACCTAATATTTTGTACTATTCATATATTAGTACTGTTTAAACATTTTTGTGTTCCAACAGGAGTATGATAAAATGTGATGGAAGTTTTAAATAGGCAATATAAATTAATGCCCAAATGGATCACAATAATAGACGGGCAGTGTTCCCATTCAGGCCAAATGATTTACGTCAACAGTTATAATGGAAAGCAATAGATTATATTATAATAGCAATCTATTAAAATGAGACAGCCACTTATCAATGCATTATTTTCAGTGTTTTAATGGTGTTGTGTTCCATTTATATATATATATATATATATATATATATATATATATATATATATATATATATATATATATATGTATATGTATATATATGAAGAGGACAAATCGTCTTGCTACTCTGCTAATATCTTCAAGATTGATGCATGAATTGTAGAATGAAGCAGACATTGTTGGAGTAATTCAAAATTTCTAGATATTCAAGATATCTACATACAGAAATAGAGATCTAACAGATGTTCCAAAAGTATGCTTACCTTCTGCCTAAGTAAGGTAGTAAAAGTGGATAACAGAAACGGAGGGAGATTAAGGGTGGAGCACAAATCAGGTTACAATTGGAAATCTAATTTTAACAACCAAAGGATGAACAGACAGCATAAAGGCAGGACAAAGAGAGGTGGTAAGTGGACAAGTGCAACAAAAGAAAACAAACAAAAACGTTCAAGGAATAAGAAAAAAAGGGAGAAAAGAATGGGGGGGTAAACATTATAAATGTAAATACAGAACAATGCCTCACTGAAAGCTCTTCTAAATGTTTAATGGGTTTTACAGAAGAGAAGTACAAAGAGGAAGAGACAAGAAAACAGGCAAAATGAGAGAGTGGAACAACAAAAGAAGAGCCAAGCTGTAAGAGGCAGGAACACCTTTAAGCGTATGTGACAGGGGGAGCTTTAGTCTGTCTGAGTAAAAGGAAAGGAGGGGATATAAAAGCAGCCCCCCTACAGATGGAGCTGCAAGAGGAGGTTGTGGGGAGTAGGGCTGAAGCAGAGCACACGTTGAACTGTACGATAACACTTGTTTGAAGTTCATTAAAAGCCACTTGATTTGGGTAGGCTGTGTGAGTGACTGACTAGTGAGTGACTCCATCACGTGGTGAGAGAGCCGAACGCTCTGTGACACTATTCACAAAGTCATTATAGATAAATGACACACAGAGGGGGGTGAGTTCAGTGTTGGAGGAGAGGAAGGTGGCGATGCATGTGTGTTTGCTCTTCCAAATCTCATTTTCCTAAGAATGAAGGGTCATATTTGGAGAATGAAAATGAGTGGGAGAGCAAAGAGAGATGCAATCCATTTTTAATCACATCTTTTCCAGTTAATAGACATGAACAATGGGGACAATAAATCTGATCTGGTTTGTGGAAATGAAAACACAGAAAGCACCGAAGTATGACTTGACACCGTGCCTGAGTGGAATCTTTAAGACACAGATCTATAATGATAGTGCTGTGAAATGATTGAAGAACTAAACTTTACACACAGTAAGTGGTAAGATGAATGTGTGTATGGAAAGTTAAATATTATGGTTTGAAACAACTATATGATATTCTACCATAAAAATACTGTGATTTTACAGTATCGCATGAATAAAAAAAGAGTTAAAAAGGACATTATCTATAATAAACATTATATAATTGTCACTTTAAATTAGTACCTTATGTTAACAAAAAAAAAAAAAAAAGTTTTTTTTACCAATCTGCTGTTCATACAGTAATCTTAAACTTGGTCATATTAGTTTATTATTATTATTTGAGCTATCTGCTCAAATAATAATAATCTGCTTATAATTTGCAGTGAGTTACCATTCTTTGTAGAGATTTAGAAAAAAAGGGCCTTAAGTCTTTATGAAATAAGTATTGAAGAAACATTTGGTAATCTAGTTATACATTTTTATCAACATTTCTTTTTTACTTAATAATAGGATGGAAAGCAAATTATTAATCAGCATCATCACTTAATTCAATTATGACAAATTCAGAATGCAGTTTTTTCTCTGCATGCAAACCTGCATTCCCCCTACAACTCAAGAGGCAAGAATTCACCTCTATATTTGTTATTTAGTTTAATAACTGTTAAGAAGATAAATAAAACATTGGAAACTGATGTCTGCAAATAATTTTTTTTGTCATTCTATTTCCAATTAATTTCCTTTAGAGGCATATTGAAAATATTATAGTTTTAAATTGTATTGCCTATTTGCTCATACCTTTTGTTTGCTAAGGCACTGTGGGGGTTTTTATGTTGAGAGGAACAACATAAAAAAAAAAGTTTGGAACTGAGTTAACCAAAGTTCTTATCTTCCATTTAGCACAGTACATATAGTGATTATCAGCCGACTCAGCATAATACCTCACAGTCACAAAGTGGCTCTCATGTCTTGTAGAATTTACATTGTATTCTTGGGTCATGCTTTTGTTAAACTACTGATAATTTAAACTGATACTTACTGTGACGCATACAAAGGCAAAGCAAGGCTTAAGAGAAAAATGATGGGTTTGTGAGTTCAGATGTGTGTTTTTTTTTGTTTTTTTTGAGACTATGTTTCTTGTGGCAAAAAAAATCTATATCCATGGTGTTTGGTCTTTAGATTCACACACACACAAAAAAATGACTTGTGAGCAAAAAATAAGCATTATTCTTTAAACTACCAAGCCCTATGTTAAAGGTATTATTGAGGATTTTTGTGAATTTTTTAAAAGACCCGCCCTCTCCAAAAATGTGCGTGCGAGAGCATGCATGAGCCCATTTTTCCTTGTACACGCTCTCTTTAAAAGTTGCTGTTCTTATAGCTCATTCAACCTTACTGTGCCCAAACAGCAGCTCTAAGTGGGTACATGTAAAAAAGGCAGGGCCGAAAATCGGTCCCAGTCCGAGCCTGCCTCCTAATATACATAATCTGCTGTGAAACCCTGTGAAGCCCAATGAAATGAGTTTTTAGAGAAAAAAATATTAGAAACATCAAAACTGTCACGAATAACACATCTGTAAAACCCAAAAGACCTTGCATAACTTGGATTTCTGTTTGTAAACACAAACTGTGACAAAGATGCTATGCAAGAACAGAATGTGAGCACTGCAATTTGGGGTCTTAC